ATACCGCGTTATTCAGCAGTTTAACCAAGCAATATGAAGGTTCAAATTTATACCCGCTATCTGAAAGTTTCAAGAGCAATTGTAAACTTGCCTGCGCCGGTTTTAGGCCGTTTTAAATAAGGCTACAGTTGCATACAGCCGTATTTATTATAGCTAAAATTAAATTTTGGTCTTACAAAACGGCGTTGTAGACTTTACAATAGTTGAAAAACTGTTTTATAGCGATAAAATAGGGTTTGCTTATTATTGCTCAATAGCGTCTACGAATTCAGAACTCATGATCAAGTAGAGAGAGAGAGAGAAGTTCATAAGTGCCACTTACATTTTGACGTTCATAAGTGCCACTTGTGGTCTAAACTGAATAAATATTTTAGATTTTTATTTTGAATTTTTTTTAAGAGAAAGAGACCGAGAGAGAGACTGAGAGAGAGAGAGATGACGCTGTTAAACTCTTCGACAGATAGGTTCTAGGATGTGACACATACACCTTTGCTTGCAATTTGACAGATGCTTAAGGACTGGGTTTTAAAGCAATGAGGGCTATCGTTTTAGCGCTCACCAGTTAGCGCAACTGTAGAGTAAGGTCCTGTCACTTGCTAGTAGCGAAGACAGTGGCACCAACTTGTGAGCGTTAAAGTGGTAGGAAGACTATCGCATTTGCACTCATCAAGATGGCGCCACTGTAGAGTAAGGTCCTGTCAATCGCCAGGGGTGCCAACTGTTAAGTATAAAAACGATAGCCCTCATTACCAGCGCTGCAAACAGTAAAACCATTTAGAAAGTTAGCATATTTAATATTCATCCAGCTATTATAATAATGGAAGCATCAAATAGTGTCTAACTTCACTCTTACAATTTTGGAAATGGCTGCTAAATTAATTTTAAATACCTTCACAAAGGAATTTGTAAAATAATTAGGAGTCAAGATTCGTCTCCTTTCCCCTTTTCCCTGCAACGGTGAATAATTAAAAGTAAGTAATAATGGGCAGGCAAATAAAGCAAACCGTACTGGTATGCATATTTCACAAACTAATTTGGCCCGTCGTGTCGATCCAATTATACGAATGTTGCCCTCTCGCCGATGTCCCCTTAGTTCCACCAGTTATAAATTTGATATTCAGCTAGGGCTGCCAAAACGAAGCTTATAACGCTCGGCTTTAAAAAATGTTTTTGGGGTGCCTCAGTTTTACATTGCTCGGTGTTAGGTAAATATTGTTTTTGGTGTTCCAAAATTATTTTAATGGTTGAAGTTTATATGTTTTCAATTATATTTAATAATAACATCTGCGGATCTGTTACAAGAGTAAAAGTTTTGATATGCGTGGTTTTGAGAAACTAGAGAAAACACTTGGGTGATTTAAAAACATTTGCAGCAATTTTGAGCACACCGTCTGTTTATAAACAAATTAATGTAAAAAATTGCACCATAATGTGTTAAAAATTTGTTTAAGTAAGTATTGTAATTTTAGTAATAAATCAAACGCTAATTGATGTTAAATCATTAACTAACCCATTTATTAAGTGTAGACGTGTTAAGCGACGTAGATTCAATTTATGCACGAATAATATCCAGTTCTGGGAATAATAACAGTGCAGCAAAACTGGTATTTATTTGGAACTAAAGACAAATATTATTTTCATCATTTGCATAAATACGGCAGCACATAAACATACATATTAATTTAATAATGTGCAGACAACATCACGTAAGCATTGTGTCATATGTTTCATTTTACAACAAGAATTAAAATGTGCTGCTGCTATACAAGGGTATGTTATCAAAAAAATAAATAATACGTCACGTACAGGTCACACTACAAGAGTCATAGTAACACAAGCAAAGATTTTGTATCTGTATACTCAGGCCAAATAAGTCTGTATACGCTTATCGCGCTGACGTTTTTGACGATTTGCGTGGTGTGTATTCAAAAAAATTACATCCATGTGAGTACTCAACTTTTATTGCGCGACCAATAATGTGCTATGTATTTTGATATAAAAATGTAGAGTCTAATTAATGTGCTGCTGACTGTACGAATATATTTTATCGATAAAATAACACATCACGCAGTAGGTACTATCGAATGTGGCAACCCTAACCACCCCTTCTTTGTTAAACACGATATGCTCATTTATAGAAAAAGTTCTATAGCTATAAATTATAAATTTGCTCTTAATTATTAATATTCACGTTAATTAAAGTTGCTCGATGGAAAGAGAGCTCTTATTGTATGCTATCGTTAATGAGTTTTTTCCTATGTTTTTTCTATGTTTGGACACTACGAGTGCTTTGTGCAGTTAGTTCGTGATTATTTTCTCATTACTGTGGATTATTCTAAAGTACGGCCAACGAGAAGCGATACCAAATGTAAACAAACCCAATGCCATGGTCATTGGGAATAGCAGGGGTGCATAACTTTTTAATAGTTAGATTACATATTATAAGTTGTTGAAAATAAATAAATAAAAAAAGAAAATGATACCAGCTACAAATTCGATTCTCGATTTAGCAGTATACTTACCACATATTATCACGTTTGAACTAATTTAATCATTTTGTCAATAAATAATAAAAAATATTTTTGTAGACAATATAGTTTTAAAGAATTTTGTTTTTGTTATAATTTGAATTATTATATAATGTAGATTTAAATGAAATTACGAGAATAATAATAATATTTCTGCTTCACAATGTGCCTGGTATATGGCCACAGGCCTACCCTTTTTTCATAGAGACTTAAATATATCGGAATAATAAAATAAGAACCGACAAGTAACAGATTCGCCCTCGTGTTATAGGTACTAAATGTTGACGAAACCGTCTGACTTTGACATATTTTGGCGGGAGAACGAGACATTTTGACATTTCAGAAGTGTTGCCAACATTGAAACATTCCCACTAAGAATGGAGAGCATTTTCACAAATTAAAAAATAATCCTTTCTGGAATTCAAGGTTTCACTTGAAATACTAAGGCTTAAAAATGTACTGATAATTTTATTGAAAATGGTTATTTGAATTTTTATTATAATATTTTTGAAGTTACAAAAATCCTTTTGTTAATAAAATCTTAGCTTCATAAAATAACCAATTTAAAAAACAAGATGCCAATTTTATAATCCAAGTTGATTATGATGACGATAATGATGATTGATGATCAATACATTAATATTATCGTTTATGATAATAATTATGTTGTTTTACTGTGTTAAAACCACTTTTTTTTTCTATTTAATCTCTAAAATGTACATAATAATTAGTGTACATTGAATTCACAAAACAAACAATAGTTCATTCTTGTAAGTTGTACTTGATGAAATTTCATTTCATATTATTTATTAATAATTCAAAGCAAAAAAGGCTTATTACATCTGAATTGTCAAAAAATGACAACTGTCAGAATTCCCTCGAATTAAAAATCGGACTATAAACCATTGAGTTATAATGTATAGATGACCCACGCTGAACTGTCCCGCCAAACTCAATGACAGGGGGGCGCTACCATCGTTCAACTATATGGTTTCCAACATGGCAAAAATCGGAACTAGCGATCCGGTATTGACGGTGGCGCCCCACTGTCAATGTCATGCATAGGACAGTTCAGTATTTTGGAACTATACTACGTACTAGAGAAGACATGTCAACTAGACTGTTTCTGGCACGCAAACAGGTCCATGGACCGAAATTCAATTAGTATGTGCTCATCGGTTGCTGTGACAACACGCTTGAGTGCAGTTTTGTTTTTTGAAATATGCCATCCTATAGACGAAAATACTGTTCAAATAACTCCAGATACATATTAAGTAAAAATCAAGGAATGCCTTTTTACCATTAAGTTGTACATTTATGCACTTTATAACACTAATTTAATTTTAATTTGTTAATTACAAGGCGTCACCGCGGCGGCAGCCATTTTACGAAAATTTCAAAGAATAAAAATCGCAGACTTGACACTGACGCATAAATTAGTATACGAAAGGAAGGTTATAAAAAGATTTTTTTAAAGATTATAAGCACTTTGTATTGCACAAATTACTAATAGTCCCGTCCAGCCCCTTGTGTTAAGCTAAATAAGCTTGGGTTACGGGTGGGCTCACACAATAGTCGTGCGGCATCATGGATCAAACTTGTTTGAACTCACTGCTGTTGTTCGTTTGCGACTGGTTAGTTAGNAATGTCTATGATGAGGCGACCGCAGGAACGTCACTATTCGTGCAATCCTATCAATGAAGTACGACATTTTCTGGTGCAGATTTTATCGCCATAAATTATGAAACTTGATAGTCATGGATTTGACTGACAGCTGTCCGTCAAATTCCCGCCCCGCACCCCGCACTGTACATATTTTGTTCGCGATGTCTGTTCTATACGTAGTAATATTACTTCAATGCTATAAACTGAACTGTCCCACCAAACTCATTGACAGAGGGGCGCCACCATCGTTCAACTGTGTAGTTTCGAACATGGCAAAAATCGGAACCAGCGATCCGGTATTGACGGTGATGGCAACCCCGCTGTCAATATCACGGATAAGACAGTTCTTAATGGGTCTATAGTTCCAAAATACTGAACTGTTCTATCCATGACATTGACAGTGGGGCGCCACCGTCAATACCGGATCGCTGCTTCCGATTTTTTCCATGTTGGAAACCATATAGTTGAACGATGGTAGCGCCCCCCTGTCATTGAGTTTGGTGGGACAGTTCAGCGTGGGTCATCTTGTATACTACGGTGGTTCTAGACAATGTGCAAATTATAATCGCAAACCAGTCGAAAAGTGGTCGAAAAGCCCCTTTTTTGTATGGAGTTTTGACGGATTCTATGTTTCGGAAGTGCGTTTTGTCTAGGGGGGCGGGTCTATATGAACCGATCCGAACGCTAAAGCAAATGAGGTTATATAATCAGAAAAGTATTTACTTTACTTATTTATGGACACTAAAAACCAAAAACAAGCCGTCTCTTTTCGGTCTCTTTGACATTTTTACTTTGGTCGTTTGACGAAATTGGCCGCTCAGAATCAAAATTTGTAAATTAGTAATAATTGTAGCTTAGAAATAGTAACATAATGTCGTTAAAGAAAGTAATGAAGGGGCTGCCTTCTGACCTCTTGGTTGCGGAGGGCTTAATGTATCAAGATTGGGACGCGCTGACTACATGTCAAAGGGAGTGCATCACCAGGCTTGGGATGACCATCCAGTTGGAACAGGAGGCCTACCTTACTGAGCATCCAGAGGTAAATTAAGTTAACGAATCATTCGGTTTAATCAGATTATGCCCTCTCCTGGAAAAGGAGTTTCCCACAGATTACCACAACGGCTAGTTCTACACTAACCGTATCTATCAACTACGCAGACCACCGATTTTAATTTGTGCGCACTTTCATACATGTCCATTGTCCATACAGATCAGCGTGGCCAGACGTCCCGATTTTGGCGGGACGTCCCGATTTTTAAATCAAATTTAAATGTCCCGCGCGGGACCTGAGCCCCGATTACGGTAACTTTTATTAACGTCTACAATCCAGACGCGTTTCTGATTCTGCAATACGATTGGTCAAAACAGCTGACGTACGCTGTTGAACGACCAATCGTATCGCAGAATCGAGAAGCGTGTCTGGATTGGAGACGTTAAATATTACCGTAATCGGGGCTCTGCTCGGTCCCGCTTTTCGGAGAGAGACACTCACTTCACCAGACTGTTGTTTGAAACGCCATACTTATTATTCTAAAGAATAAAACATTTTTTTTAATTTCGATTTATGTTTTTTTTTTCTTTTTTATTCAAAAGACGAATTTAACGATAGAGTAAATCTGATTTAGAATATTTTTTTTTGTTAAAATACATTTTCTATGGCTACTTTTGCTATCTATTGTCACGTAAACGTAATTTTAAGTCAAATAAAAAGATAAATATTTGAAAACCTTTGATTTTATACGTTTTTTTACTATGTCCCGCTTCTGACGGAAGAATCCCTCTATTTTGACTCAAAAAGTACCAAAGTCCCGACTTGGCGAAAAAAAAACTGGCAACGCTGATACAGATTAACAGCCCGACCCAAGAATCGGCCAACTAAAAGTCGGTGGTCTGCGCCTAGGCTAAGACGTCCACTGCTGGACGTTGCCTTCCCCAATGATTTCCACAACGAGCGGTTCTACTCAGTCCATTCCGCGCTTCCTGCGAGCTTCAACAGATCGTAGGGCCAAAGAGTGGGTAGCCAGCCTACACTACGTCTTCCTGTCCAAGAATATTAGAATGTATCAGTAAACAACTTTAAAAAGGCAGTGTAGTAGGCAGTTTTATTTTCAATGTAGAGAAAATTGAAAAAAGTTCAGTTTGACGTCAGTGGGACGTTACTTTGGTCACTTTGTCTGAATTCTAAATTAAGGAACCACTGATCCTCCCAAATAAGGCAAACGGAGTACCGGGACTATTTTACGTCTTTTTGATAAAATGAATACCACCCTACCATCCCGCCACCCTCAAGAAAAAAAGCAGAATATTAAATTTAATTTAATGTGTCAACCTAGTTAAATAAAGTAAGTTAAAGGTCCCCCCTTCCCCCGAGGATTTCCATTGCAACCGGCCTTGTATAGTGGACTTCCAGAAGAATATGTAGCCAAAGTTAAAACTTTTTTTTCTTAGTAGTATTTATTTATCTGTACATGTTCTTAATTTAGCAGCTGTCTCCAACTTCGTGTTCTTATCATAAATAACTTTTTCCGCGGCAATTGTGTGGTAAAACTGAAGTTCGCAGTCTCGGCTACTACTAAGGCTTCCCTGTGTAACCAACCACTTCGAAACTACGTCATGTCTGAGAACTGATGAAGATGTTACTGTAAAAGCTCGAATTGCAGTAAATCCTAAGATATTCCAGTACCTACAACCTAAGATCTACCAAATTCTAATGGTAAATGTCCCAAAAGGTTTGCGATTCGAACTCTTACCACCATTTCGTTAGTAAATCTTAGGATTTACATTAATGGCACGGTAAATGTTGAAAAACAAAACATGTCATAATGTGCTGAGCGCATCTCATAATCATCATCATCATCAGAAATTACTTCAATTGGAAAAAATCGAATCTATCTTAATATTGAAGTTTCCCTCTTTGTATTTCTAGTCGCTCACTTAGTAATTTAGTCGCACGGACAGAATTTTAATATCTAAAATGGATTAAACATAACCCACTTTTTGTAAGCTCGTTCTGCATTTGATTATAGTAATCAATATTCGTCGTTAGTTAAGTTAATTTTTCGCTTACTCAAATTCATACCGCTCAAGTTATTAAAACAGTGAGTATGCCATCATCAATCGCTAAGTTATTTTATAGTCGATCGTTTTATAATTCCCCATTAAGAATTACTCATTGTTTTATTCCTAAAACCAACATCTACCAGCTGACAGAGGTAAAACCTAGCATATACTGAATTCGAATGGTAAAAGATCGAAAAAATCGTCGTATTTTCTGAAATACTTACATTTACCAACTCATGTCGGTAAATCCTAAGACCCGGTTTTTTGATTCGTAGTTAAAATAACCAATGGTCAAGTTTGACAGATGTCAAATGACAAGTGGTTAAATATCAGAGAAAAATGTTTTTCGAACAATGGTTATAGATGACCCACGCTGAACTGTCCCGCCAAACTCAATGACAGGGGGGCGCTACCATCGTTCAACTATATGGTTTCCAACATGGCAAAAATCTGAACCAGCGATCCGGTATTGACGGTGGCGCCCCACTGTCAATGTCATCGACAGGACAGTCCAGTATTTTGGAACTATAGCTAGACTTTTAGTACATTTTTTAACTATGAGTTAACATTTTGTTAATATTTAACCATTAGTAGCAAAATTTAACAATTTGTTATTTTAACTATGAATAAAAAAACTGGGCCTAAGACTTACACTTAAATCTTAAGATTAACCGTAGTTCGAGCTTTTACAGTAACAAAGACTGTTATTTTAAAAATGTTTTTATTTGTCGCAAATTGTGTGCTTGCTTCAATAGAAAACTGTTTATTCTTAATGCATATCCGACCCTTTGTAGGTTATATTTCTTCTGTTGCCGGTTATTTTTACTTTCCGCAGAATCCACTGCTATTTTATATTTTTCTCGAAGTAGATTAATTTACGAAGCCTTCGTAGTTTTCACTAGGTGTATGGGATTTTCCAACATGTAGGTAATATTATTTTCTGTTTTATTCTATTGAATCCACTTGATTGATTGTTCAAAAATAAGTACTTCATTTTGTGCTTTGGAAAACTAAATTAAATGTTTAGTCATGTCAGAACTAGCCTTAGATTTCCTCGTTACAAACATTTTTTTTTTAAAGCATTTTGTACAATCACAATCATATAAACCGTATTTTTTTCTTACAGCTTTCCATTGATCCTCCAACTTCGATGGCATAAATTGTATTGTTAATTCAATCAAGTTTTTGACATAGGTTAGAGCTATGCTGGAAAACTTTTTCACGGGAATCGTCCTGCAACCAAAAAGGAAGGACTTGCTCGGTGAGGCGGCAAGATTTTTCACACGGCCAGCCGAGGTTCTCGACGCTGAGATCAAAGAGCGAATTGGTGTGCAATCCAGTCCATACGTGCAGGTATTATCACAGAATAATAATAAATGTACTACTATCCGATCGAGCTAACTGCTGCGCACCTCGCTGGAATACTCTCGCGTTCGTCGCAACATAGATACGACGTCACGGTAGCCAAGTAGATACGCAGTTAACTCGACCGGGTTATACGTAAAGAAAGATTTTTTCGCGAAGGTTTTAAAAAAAATGTCTACTGAATGTCGTCAACAATAATATGGTGCAGGTAATTTAGCTTGTCTCAAAGTCGAGTATCGTTACGTACATAGATCAGTGATCGGTACTGTGCCGATGCGATAGGGACGACTGCTATAAGAAGCTAGCGCACCATAGTACGTGTATTTTCTTCTTTTCATAACGAATATTTATTTTACAATGGGTAAAGAATACGCGCGCATACGTCACTAAAACCTGGTCCGTGAGCACGTAGAATTTTGTCCAATGACCCCTAGCTACACGTCCTTATCGCTCGCGCGTAATTATGTTGCTATCGCGCTCGCACACTCACTGCGGGCACCCGTCGCACAGTCGCGACAGCAATATAATTACGCGCGAGCGATAAGGATGGGTAGCTTGGGGTCATTGGACAAAATTCTACTTGTTCACGGACCAGGCTTTATAACTGCTCACTCGTGAATCCCTTTTAGATAAAACGGCGGGTACGCCGCGTGTTTTGTTTTCGATGCCTACTCGAGGAGCCTCGTATTATGCCTAATAAAGTATTTTTATACATACCCAAGTAGTTATTTGACTATAATTACATCTGATGTTAAGTGAGATGCAGTCTAGGATGTTACAAACCTACCCTGTAAGTGCCTAGGTATTCACTCTCGCCTTGAACAATATGAACAGGCCCGCGCGGATTTTTGGTGTTCCAATCCCTCGCCGTTCACATTATAAAACAAAAGCAAAAGTAATGTATATTGCAATGTTGAACGCACTACGGCGGAGTACACAATTTTATTACTTTATAAGGATTGCATCCTTGAAGAGGTTTCCTTGATAAAATTAAAACTTGTTGCAACGCATTCCATTTAGTGAATATTAAACATTAATATTCTTTACATAACTTGGATTTTATTTAACTTTGGATTTTTTATTGACTGTTTGTATAAAAAGCAAAGTAAAATTATCTGAGTATACTTACGCCCGTATTCACAAACATTACTATGAGGTTTCACAGTGCGCGTGGATGCATTGAGTGACACATGAACCAATCACAGATCTCCATTCAACGCTGTGCGTTTGATTTGCTGCTTCACTTTAACAAGCATCGTTCGTGAATACGGGCGTTAATCTTTATCCGATCTCCAGTATTTTATAATGCATTTATTTCAGGACCAAAAACCTCCTTTTCGGTACAAAGACCTTGATTTGGAGTATGACCTGAAGAACATCGTGATGCGGAACTACCCTCCAGAACAGTGGAAGATCCCTACGCCTGTCGTCAGCACTCCTAACACGGTGTCTTCGGACTTCTTGTCCATTATCACGTCCGATACAACTTTACCAACCCCAGGTAAGATTACAATATGATTGGGATGTTTCCTGGGTAAAAAAGCAAGTGTTTAAATTAGTCCGTCAGTTCATCATCATCATCAATAGCCCTTTACAGTCCACTGCTGGCCTATGAGCCTCCTCCACTATAGTGGAGGGTTTTGCCATAATCTCTACGCCTTGCAGGCGGGTTGGAGTTTAAGGGAGCGCTGCTGCCCGTTCTCTGTTTGATGTGTAGTCCCTAAGTCGCCTCTTACGACACCCGTGGGAAGAGTAGGAGTAGTCCGTCAGTTAACTTATCGAAAAATACTCGACACTTATTTTTCACTTTTTCAAACTATTGAAAATTTAAAGAGAAAAAGACTGCTAAAGTACAATGGAAGAGGCCCGTGACGTCAAGAAGTGCTTAAAAGTGTAGCACTTTGAGACGTCACGCGGAACTTCAACTATGTTCAACTTCAACTAAAATATGTTAAAAATATAATAAATTACGAATAATAGATTTAAGATATAAATCATGCAATCTAATTCAATCTAATCCAATTGCCAACCGGAAAAAAGTTCATGTAGTCCGATCGGTAGGCCAGGGTTTCTCAAACTTTCAGCTCCCTGAACCCCTGTTTTTAGTTCCCCCCTTCCTTCAAAGAAAATAATAAAAATGACTATTGAAGAAAATAAGGTTTAAATTCAACCAAACCTTAGTACCAAATAAAGTGCCAAAGAAACGTTTGATTTTGTGATGGTTATGCTTGTTTCTTGTCTTATCTGCCACCATTACGTAAATCTTGTCGCGAACCCCCTGCCGTCGAATGGCAAATCCCTAGGGGTTCGCGTACCCCACTTCGAGAAAACCTGGTAGGACGAAAGCAGTAGGACCACGTGGCCTCAGAGCATTTCACTTAGTATCCCGTTTACCTGACCTCGTAGGTAGCAATAACGAGCAAAATTTAAATAAAGTTGATAGCGGAAAATATAAATATTTACAGCGCAGTGTGTAATAAAGGCCCCGTCAAACGGAGGTATATCTATTTGACAGCCTTTGCCGATGTTTGACGTGGAGCAGCGCGACTTTCTATGTGTCGACTCAAACATTTCCATAGAAATTAGCACGACAAAGACTCCACGCTCAAGTGCGCTGTCAGCCTGCCTTTACAACAGATATTACCTTCATCGGTCTTTTATATTTTGCCTGAGAGCTCCCTTCAACACGTCTATCCACTATCCGTAAACTGATAGGTGAATGAACAATGCAGGGGTGTAAGTAACGCATTATTGTTATAAAACCGAGAAGAAAGGCTGAAGTAAAGCACTGAAAGACAATAGCGTATCGGATAATGTGTTTCCAACTAATGAGGGCTTTACATCAACGTATCACTCGAACTAATGAGTATTTATTCAGTTTACGTTTTCTCTGCACTACTTGGAAAGTAATTGAATGTGGATACGTTGCATCTTGATGCTCTTATTATAGACAAACAAGCTGTCTGAATGCCACTCAAAGTAATAAAAAACCTGTATTTATTTTATAAGTGATTTCTTGAAATATGTCTTGAAATATTATGTTANAAATATTTTTAACCCTTAAGTAACACCGTGGGGTAATTTTTTACCCCAGGCGCATAAAAATTGACATATCTTTTTTTCTAGCGAAGCTAGTGCAATGTCGTTTTGTGTATTCTCAATGCAGAGCGTGTGCTTTAAGCTCGTAGACGCGGGATGTAAAAAAAATCATCCGTATAACTTTTACAGGTAGGTGGGGTAGAAATTTGCCCCAGGGTGTTAGTTACGCATGCTTTAATTTATCATCACCTAACATGTTATTAATAGGTTTTTATAATATTTAAACAAAACTAGTAAATATTTACATGACGATGAAGTAGCACGTTGTTTCGAGAATGCAGAAAGATAAATAGAGCTTGTGAATCAAGCGAATTATTCGAACTTTGATGACATCCCCTCAGAACAGAGCGTTCATAAATTCGACACAGAAATAGAGCTCGAAGGTGATAATTACGTAATAATTCAGTGTGTTTGATGTGTTTCGAAAATAATAATTAGAAATAAAATAAAATAAAAAATATTTTCTCATAATTTAAAAAAAAAACTATTTTTTTTTATTTTGCTTTGTCTTAAGTCCAAAAATTTTCGTTTTATTTAACTTTGAGTTTAAAATGTGTATAAAGCATCTATTCAATGTCCGATTAGTGTAAGGTTTTGGTTTCTACAACAACTTTTCAAGATTTTTCTAGAAGACCATTGTGGAGACTATTAGTTGCATATGGAAAATTCTTTTTTTTGTTATGATTGATTTAAGATGTTTTTTTACTCTAATAAACGTTTTTTTAAAGCAATCGTATAATTTAGTGAGCCCGCTAATACATATAAATCACAAATTGAATTGATTTTAAGTGTTTGCTTAAAATTTTCCAATTTCCGTTTGGGGTAATTTTTTACCCCAGGGTGTTCAATGTGTAACAAAAAATAAGGATGTTACTTAAGGGTTAAAANACTTTTGCAATGTTCACCACCTAACTAGGCTAAATAAAGTCCCGAGGTCAGAAATTGTGTTCCACGGATTTCTCTCTACACCGTCGTTAAGGCATTCATTGACTGGACTATTACATAAGCGAAAAATTCTTGCAGTTATTTATTTTGAAGAAATAAGCTTTTAATATAACTATGTTGTAACTTAGGTATTGTATTGAACTCAAGCTATGCACCCAAAACTGCGAGTCAGTTTTTTACTTTGGACCGCAAACCATTCGACGTTTTTTCTGCGCCCAAACCTTTCAGCATGGTACTAATAATGCAAATCAACTGATCCTCAATTTACTTCTACAGAACCAGTTCGTACTCCTGAAGCAACTCTCTCGGAGACCCTGTTCGCCGTTGTCTCAAACACCGTGGACAAGGCGATCTTCACCCACATTGATGATGCTGCGTTGAGATACGATACTGCATATGTGGAACTCATGAAAGCTGTAGAACAAGCCATGGAGATCCCAGTGATAGAAATACGAGAGGACATAGCTGAGCTGTTCTACAACGCCTACAAACTATTCGAACTTGATATCATGGAGAAAGAAAGAATTGGTAAGTATCTTTAGTTCACTATCTAGGTATTCCTGTTGATAAGATCAATATCTAATCTTTGATAGGAGAAATCATCAAAACGTAGGATCATAGATATCTGCACCGCTCCGACTTGGTGGAAACCGAGCTTCATGTAGCCATAGAGTCCAGGAAAGAAGACTGAAGTTTTAAAATAAATAGATTTTCAATCATAATTTTAGAGCATAGTTTTATCATTATTTTAATCTGCTCTTTATACTCACATATCAATTAGTAAAAAGGTGTTTTCTCCCTTATTTTGCATCTCATAATCCCGTATTTGAAATCAAACAGAAACGTACAGCAGACAGTTCGGAATTCAATTCATGCGACTCGTCGCGTTCGTAATTTACGATTCTGCATCAAATATGCCGCCGAAACAACGTTTTAATTGTGAACACAAGTACAATCAGTCTAGACTACGAATTCCTTTCACCCATAACTAACGCTGGAATCCGTGTGCTGATACCTGGTCGGTAACTAACAAGGGGATCGAATACCTGGCTGGGAATTCGAAATACACAACGAATATCAACATCGATAAACCGACGCGGGCACTAATTAATGCTTACATTGTGTTGACGCTCTGTTATTATTCAATATCCGACGCGGGTGCACGGGCACTGTCTGTGGTACATGTTGTGGCTGACATGTTATGCGAAAAACTTACACCCTGACCATTCATTAGTGGTCTGTTGAAAAATAATGATGTTTCAGCTCTGTAAAACAAAATAGACTTTGTTTAAAGGGTATTAATTTTGAGGATTATTTTTGCAGCGGCTGAAATTGCATGGGAGAAAAGGATGAGGAAGAAGTTGAAGAGAACACTGAGAAGATTGAACAATTTTAAAGGTGCGTAAATTTTTCATTCAAACCTCATTGCTTTTCTCATACTTATGAAACGATTCGAAAGCAGTCTATGGTTTGCTGTCAAATTTTGTGTTATAGTTCCAAAATACTGGACTGTCCTGTCGGTGACATTGACATTGGGGCGCCACCGTCAATACCGGATCGCTGGTTCAGATTTTTGCCATGTTGGAAACCATATAGTTGAACGATGGTAGCGCCCCCCTGTCATTGAGTTTGGCGGGACAGTTCAGCGTGGGTCATCTATATCATAATTACTGTAAAAAGCCCTTGTGTTATTTTCTATGAAATAACTTTCATGGGTGGGTGGTGCTTAATTACTTTGTTGACCTCACACTTTTATTTTTCAATGCCAGTTGTGATTTTCAATGAGTTAGGTATTCGTTTTTGCTATAATTGGAGTTTGATAGACGTTTTACCCTTTTAATTGGCGTGTATTTAATAGGTTTTGAACTGTTTTATTTTAAAGGTTACGAGACTCCGCCTTCGCCAAAGAGCGAGATTTCGTCCCATGAGAGCTACAAGAAGCCCCCGCCAAGGCCGTGCGTGTGCCATCCCCAGTTCTATTACAACCGATATGCAAAGGTAAATGAAGGTTTAGCCAAGCCGCTGATTAAAGACTTTTTATCATTCGACAAGTAGTTGAATCAAATGAAATGAAATCAAATTTCTTTAATATTAAATAATTTGGGTCGGGTTGTTGAGTTTAGTAAAATTGTACACTTATTGAACACCAAAAATACATAAAAAATTTAACCTTCCGAAGGTAATCTTAAGATAAGCATTTGAAGAATATAAAAATATTAATTTTATGCCTAAGTTACAATCTCGTTCTCTCAAAAATAGGTTTAATAAATATTATAGAGACTTATGAAATAAATTATTTATAGAAATCCATTTGTGCCTTTATAAAATTATTCTCTTTATTTGAGTATTAAAGTAGATAAGTAGTGTTGAATCTCAGTTTTTTTAAATACAACTTTACCTTTTATTTTAAGCTACTGTGCTCTCCCTGGCTAGTTAATCTAGAAGAGATCGCTACCTAGCGATAAGGCCTGATTTCTACAAAGAAAAGCGGAGCAAAGAAGTGTCAGACGGACGAATTTTTCGTGTTGTGATTCCTGACCCGACCACGACATGGAACGGAGTTTTTATTGTGGCACAAAATGGTAATTTTAATTGTGTGTTACTGTGCCACTTATCCCAAGAATTTGTGCCTTGTACTTTTTGAGTAATAAGAGGACGATTGTGGTCGGGCTGGAGATCACGGTTCCTGGCCCGACCACAAGCAGATCTAATAAAATATCAATAGTGTGAAGTTACTGATTATGCCAAAAATATGTGTCAAACTGTGCCTATAGGAAACGTAAAGCATTTTCTATTATATCACAGAATAAATCTAGATTCGGATTAGTTAGTTTTTAGCATGCTCATTTGAACACTTTGTTCGTGATAATTACGTCGTCTAGGTATCTTTAAGTAATCGATGTTCACCGATTACTTAAAGATTTCTCGACCGATTACAGTGACTCCTTTTTGTTCGAATGTAGATACTTGCCATTTGGTCCCATATACAATTTAATTTAGTTTAACGTAGTCGTTTTTATTTTATGAGCATGATTTTCGAACAGAATTTTTCGGACTCAGATTACAAACAATGAAAAGTCAAAAATAAAAATAAACTGCGTTTAAAAAAACCGACTTGAAAAAATAAACTGACTCCAAAAAAGTACCTACACTAAAAAGTAGTTAAATAATTTTACGTTATTTATTTAATTAGGACAATTATTATGACCATGATTGATATTCTCGGAGTCGTTGCCAGTCTGTCTCAAGAAACGCACTGACTGCTCATAAAATAAAAACGACTACGTTAAACTACATTAAATTGTGTATGGGACCAAATGGCAAGTATCTACTATCGAACAAAAAGAGTCACTCAAATCGAACGAGACATCTTCAAGTAATCGGTGAACATCGATCACTTAAAGTTACCTAGACGACGTAATTGTCACAACAAAGTGTTTAAATGAGCATGCTAAAAACTTAACTAATCCGAATCTAGATGTATTCTGTGATATAATAGAAAATGCTTTACGTTTCCTATAGGCACAGTTTGACACATATTTTTGGCATAATCAGTAACTTCACACTATTGATATTTTATTAGATCTGCTTGTGGTCGGGCCAGGAACCGTGATCTCCAGCCCGACCACTATCGTCCTCTTATTACTCAAAAAGTACAAGGCACAAATTCTTGGGATAAGTGGCACAGTAACACACAATTAAAATTATCATTTTGTGCCACAGTAAAAACTCCGTTCCATGTCGTGGTCGGGTCAGGAATCACAACAAAATTTTTCTATGGAATTTGAAAGCGGCGTCGATCGGACAAGAGATGTGGAAATTATGAAATTAGTTATTCAAAACACTTATCTGCTCCGCCTTGGTGAAAACCTGGCCTAAATTGTGCCAATTCAATTTTTTATTTCTTTGTCTTTCTTGTTTGGTGTGCAAAATAGCTATCATAACTTTTTCATCTACAGGACCGTTTCGGAATCTATCTGCCAAGAGAGACCGGCTTCACCGACAACAACGTGACCGTTACTCCAGCCATCTCTTTGGAGAGCCTCAACGAAGACGAAGGAGAAGCAGTCGACACAAAGTCCATCATCAGCAGGAAGTCTGTTGTATCCGCGAAGAGTACAGTCAGCAAGAAAACCACCTTCAAAACTTAAGTGATGAGATTTATATGATAGATTTAGTTTTTTTCTTGTTTTCAGATTAGAGTATTTAAATTGAACCTAATAAACATATATTTTTGTTGAACCAAGTCTTCTTTATTTCTTAACTATTTAATTAGCATCGAAGAAGAGTGTTTTCAAAGAACATTATGGGTAATTTTACCAGGATAAAGTTATTTCTGTTGATAGGTCAAATGTTTTTTCTCCGCCCGCCTGTTAGGTTTCTACAGGCTCTTATCGAATCGACGTTGTGAACGTTGTGGTTGCAAAAAAAATGTCTTTTCCGAAGAAATACTTATAAACAGTTTGGAAAAATGTTTTCAGTAGCTGTTCCTTTAGATACCTCAAGGAATAGATCTCGCAAATGCTAGTTGTTACAACCTGCACATTGTTTAACACCCTTACTCAAAGCCCCTCCCAATCACCTTATAAAAATCACCGGTTATAAAAATATTTGTATTATTATTGTTTATTATTAATGCCACCATTAACACCATGAAAGCTGCAACAATCTCCAAAATTAATTCAACCAACCAATTAATAAAGAAAAAAGGAAACCCTCAAGTAAAATAGCACGGGATAGGTACACAATAGACACAAAGTATAAAAGGAATAATTCGCTTAAGATTGTCTGGAATTTTTCACTGTCAAGAATTAGAACCCATTGTCAACGGTAAAGGAACAATTTTACGTCGAGTAATCCTTTAGGGTTTGAGAATCAAAGCCTTAAGATGTTTCATTCATAGGTCCAGCGTTTAACCAGTTTAACTCAGTCAGTGCCTGAGATATGGGAGCGGAACGGCAGGGATGACATTGACATACAGTTTGCAAATCAGTGCCTTTTCACACGTTCCGGTTGCCGGCTATCCGGCGCCGGGTACCCGGTGGTGAAGTGTATGGGCATGGTACGTAGCTTTCACATGTTCCGGCGTAATTAATCCGGCATGCCCATACATTTGACGCCGGGTAGCCGGCAACCGGGACGTGTGAAAAGGGCCTTATAGTTCCAAAATACTGGAATGTCCTGTCGATGACATTGACAGTGGGGCGCCACCGTCAATACCGGATCGCTGGTTCAGATTTTTGCCATGTTGGAAACCATATAGTTGAACGATGGTAGCGCCCCCCTGTCATTGAGTTTGGTGGGACAGTTCAGCGTGGGTCATCTATAGACTGTTGTCGTATGGACGGGTGACATTTGACGTCACGCTCAGCTATTTCCATACCTACAAAGTTTATGCACGTGTCTCGCTAAACACTCGACATTGGCGAAACCAGTGTGCTTCAAAACCATTAAACAGAATAATAAAGTTTAAACACTTTCAACTTTTTTGTTTCCAGTCCGATTTCAATATAGGCGAGTGTAGAATTAGAGTTGAAATCGGAAATAATGAGGGTTTTCGCGATTGAAAAATCCGCCAGATAGCAATACGTAGACGGGAGGTCCAAATGCTACATGATTGGTGGATTTTGACATATCTGTCAATGTCATGTCAAAAATAACATTTGGACCTCGCGTCGACTTGCCATCTGGCGGATTTTTCAATCGCGAAAACCCTCATTCCTACAAAAGACAGAAATCTGAAGCACATTGAAGTCTCGCTGACGTTTGACGTCCCAAAACCCCTTCTATATCTCAGTGGGTCTAGACAAAGTGCCATTATAATCGCAAACCAGTCGAAAAGTGGTCGAAAAGCCCCTTTTTTGTATGGAATTTGACGGATTCGATTTTCGATTCGATCAAAAAGTGCGTTTTGTCTAGGGGGGCTGTGGGTCTAGACAAAGTGCAAATTATAATCGCAAACCAGTCGAAAAGTGGTCGAAAAGCTCCTTTTTTGTATGGAGTTTTGACGGATTCGATTTTCGATTCGATCAAAAAGTGCGTTTTGTCTAGGGGGGCTGGTATAGATGACCCACGCTGAACTGTCCCGCCAAACTCAATGACAGGGGGGCGCTACCATCGTTCAACTTTATGGTTTCCAACATGGCAAAAATCGGAACCAGCGATTCGGTATTGACGGTGGCGCCCCATTGTCAATGTCATCGATTCAGTATTTTGGAACTATACCTTCTGACTAAGTTAAGCGTTAGAGCTATTTATAGTTTTATAGGTTGCCTAGGATCCTGGGATCTTTTGGTATGAAGAGCACGAACATCTAAGCATGATGATTAATAATAATTTTCCGTTGATTATACGAAGACATTCAAACGATTCATGCAAATATTATTGGAAAGTCTACCATTGTGGTCTGTTAATAGGTATGTGTCTTGCATGTGCCATCGACAAAAAAAAAATGCTTAGTGTGAAGCTAAAAAAAATATTTTAAAAAAATCCGTACAAATGAAACAAAATTTCAATTAATAAGATTTAATTCAAATATAAATTATTTATTTATTTTTATTTATTTATTTAGGTATAGATCGTTTCATCCACGAAGACGTGCCCCACCAATTTTTTGTCGAGGGAAGCACGGGATGAGGGTAGTTTGATCCGAGCAATCCGAGCGTCATTATTGTAGTGTGCGTGATTATTTAGCGTGTGCCGATAACATTTAAACATTAGCGGAAGAATGGTGGGGCGCGTCTTCGTGGATGAAACGATCTACATAATATATCCCTCTACACTTTGTGAGACTCCACTGTGTCTTCGGGCTTCGCCCTCTTCTTGCAGATGTTGTCGGCCTTATCATCGCCCTCCGCGCAGATGGTCTTGAAGCTGAAGGGGTGGAACATCCATCCCCGACCCAGGTAGAACTTGCTCATGAATTCAACCCTGGAAAAAAAAAGTGAATAAATCAGGCAAAAATAGCCCATGATTTTCAGTTTGGCCCAAAAATTAACTGGAACTTATCTATAAAACAATTTAGGTGTTCAATAGTTTTAAAATAGATACAATAATAAGGTTGTCTGTTGAAGGTGTAGCGTTTAACTCAGTCGGTACCTGAGGTATGAGACCGGCTCGGGATGGGTGATATAGTTTCAAAATACTGGACTGTCCTGTCGATGACATTGACAGTGAGGCGCCACCGTCAATACCGGATCGCTGGTTAAGATTTTAGCCATGTTGGAAACCATAATATAGTTGAACGATGGTAGCGCCCCCCTGTCATTGAGTTTGGTGGGACAGTTCAGCGTGGGTCATCTATATTATTGACATGACCTGACAGGGCATGCAAATCTGAAGTCATCCTCCAGTGTCGTCCCCATACCTCATTCACTGACTAAGTTAAGCTCTAGAGATGTATAGTATTTTTTTTTAAAGTCTGTTCAGCCGTTTGGAAGACCAGCTACAATATTTGTCTTACAAAGAGAAAATACTGTTAATCAATAATACAAAATAATAAGTTCTTAACGACAAATGATAAAGCATACTAAAATAATAATTGTTTGTAAAAGACATTCGTACACAATGTAGCAGCTTTGATAGCTTCCTGCATACCTAATACGAGGGCTGCACTAAAAGTATCNCGCCCTCGTATTATATTCAATCATTGTCATATTGGAAACCATTACAAAGCTATCAGTTTCAGACCATCGCAATTCCAGAATCCGCCTAAGGCCGATGCAACAGATAGTATTGTGTTTGACATGCCTTTGTATCGATGTCATGCAATTATGACGCTGATGGCTACTGACAACTGACATCTGACGCACTTCGCCGACGAAGCTAGAGATATTCGCTGACGCTGCCTCCAGGCACTCTAAGGCGTTTGGTGCTATCGACATTATCAATGTCTTGGTGCCAAGCAGAATAGGTTCATTAGCTTCACTAGTAGTTCCTAACGGACTTTTACCTTTTCAATAATCTGATTTCAAAACATTTTAAGGTTTCGACAAAAACTATCCAGTGGTTTTATTAGAATTCGCAGATGAAAACTTCTTTCGATTTTCTTTCGGCACTTCTTCTCAGCACCAGCCGCTTTGTTGTTCAAAAGTTGTGGTGTTAAAAGCTATATTAAAAGCCTGAAAAGGGTCTACATACTAATAAATAATTTGTATTTGAGTATTATGACTTGTTCACACGTACCGAGTAAACGGGCGAGACAGTAAAATGTTTACTCGGTCGAGACAGTTGGGTGAGCGAGTCACATACTCGAGCGCTCGGCCGAGCACTTGGCGTAATGTTCATACACACCGAGTACTCGACCGAGAGCACTGTCTCGCTCAAAGACAAAACCAGCTCACCAATGCAGCCGCAGAGTGTGCAAGAAGGCCGACAGCCCCTCCATCACGACCAGGATGGTGACCGTGAAGAAGGCCCAGCAGGCGAACTTGATCGGCAGCAGCACACACTTTATAGTGTTCTCGTAGTCGCGGCCGGCTTGTAAGACCATGTTCCACAGGATATCTGACAGCTCTGAAACATACAATAGTCTTTGTTTCATCATCATCATCATTTCAGCCATAAGACGTCCACTGCTGAACTCCCCCAATGATTTCCACAATGGCCGGTTAGTGGCGGCCTGCAGCCAGCGCCTTCTATCCGCTACCTTTGTCAGGTTGTCGGTCCACCTTGTGGGTGAACGTCCTACGCTGCGATTTCCATTGTGTTTCTTTGTTTGACATATTATTATATCAATACTTGGTTACTTCTACGGTACAGAAGGCAAAACAAGAGCAGAGTAATCTAAGGTAGCCTGTTTCCAAGCCATTTCTATACAGTTGAGGATTTCGAATGCTTGCTTCCATCTATAATCTTTAGGTAAGATTCCGGCCAAGAACTTCCCCGTAGGAGGTAAAAAACCAAATGTGCGTCGACAAAATACCTGTACTTTGTTTTACCTGCATGAGCTAGGGATAGTGCCCACAAACGAAGATACGAAGCAGTATGAGATATGGTGCTCAAAACGAATTCGATGGTGCTGACTCCTTGGTGTATCATCAGCTCTCCAAATGGCTGGCTGTACCTCTCTATGTCAGCCAAAATTTTTTCCTCCGCCTTCTTATCGGATTCCCTTCTCTGCTGATATCGCCGAAAATTGCTTATTTTATTCTG